AGGTCTTACATAAAAAGGCTGGTATTCTGACACTAAAGCTTGAATGGCAAATTCTTTCACCTCAACTTGACCCCAGTTATTTGTTCTTACCATTAATATTTACAAGCTGGTGGGTATCGAATCCATTTATAATTGTTCTATTACTGCAATATTTGAATAATTAATTTAACACTAAGATTGACCTCAAATGTGCCGATAAGAGTGGAGTGCCTTTATGAATTCGTCATCATGTGCAGAAATGGTAAGAGTTGATGGGGAATATGAACCGACATTGACTGAGTTGTGAGGAAGTTCTCTTGACTACTGTAAGTGAATGAGTAAGGCGAAATTTTCATTCGATCCACTAAATGAAAGGTTGGAGGTAGATGTGGTTGTGATAGGGATCACAGGGGTTGTGCGAAAGTTCACTATTGAGATACTTCCCAGTTGGAAATTGGTGTTGAATGCGGAACTAAGAGAGTAACGAAATTGTTATCTTTTTTTGACTGGTGTTTTGAGTTACTTGTTGAGATTCCAATCAAACGCATTTCCATGCAGTGGGTGTCGCACTTCCTATAATGTCCGATGACTCTCTGTCTAACTATCAAGGGCAGTATTCTTATTCAAATACAAACAGGACAAGTTAATTTCGAAAATTTTCAAATTCAATGAACAGGCCAAAACTGAAGCTTTGTCCAAATGAGAATCACATAAATAAAAGAGCACATAAATTGCAAAATGAAAACACAAGGTATCAATAAAAGTGTAAAGGCCGAAAGCATACCGATGCAACATTGATGGCAATATTTCAGTTGCGGGGTTGGCGATAGACTTACCTCCACTTGGTGCACGCTAAACAACGTATCTTCATATGGTAAAAGAGTCTATCGTTCTGCATTTTGACTACTTTTGTTTATTACGATTAGCTTGAAGCAAAGCTATAAGAAAAGTCGCCCTCGTCAGGGCGAATCACAACGTCTACAGATCCTTCAGTGGAATGCTGGAGGGATGCCACCGGACAGAAAGATCCAAGTCCAGAAAATCCTACAAACCTATGATGTAGACATTTTCAATTATATAATTATGGAAGCACTCAAATCTATGATGTAGACATTTTCACAATTATGGAAGCTACATTGATGACACTATGTAGTCCTACCAATTCCCAGGTTACACCCTGTACCTTCTACCATACTACCGATTCCCAGGTTACAGCCTTTTCCTTCTAACTAACTACACGGCAAGTTGCAAGTGGAATTCTGACTAGAGTAAAAGAAGACCTCACATCACACTACGATCTAATCAAGAGTTTGGGCTCGACGCAAGACATATGCGAAATAATCAGATTAAAAATTTGGAAATGTCAAAAGCACTTCAAGATATATGCAGTCTATAATCCACACCAGAATTGTCCCAACTTTGATTTCCCGAACATCTCACTCAAAACTGTAGTATTAGGAGACTTCAACGCTCATTCCACCAGATGGGGCTATAAGAATACAGAAATAACTGGAAAGGAAATCGAAGACATGCTAAAGAGCAACCCTCTAGAACTTATTTATAGCAATGAGGATCCTTCTACGAATTTGCACTACAATGGAACCAGAACAACTCCTGACTTGCTTGTTTGCACTACAATGGAACCAGAACAACTCCTGACTTGCTTCTAGCTTCAAGCAACATCAGTGAGAATATGCGTTGCAAAATAATCGACGATCCTGGTTCTGGTCACAAACCAGTCATTGCTAGTATTACCATCGGCAGCAAAAGCATGACAAGGAAAGTGCCAACTAAGCTATCATGGAACTTCAAGAAGGCTGACTGGCCTAGATTCATGAACCTTTTAAAAAATGAACATCATACAATTCCCTTCAACTTCAACCAACATCCTGGCAAACTTTGCCACGATATCATGAATGTTATGATCAGATGTGCAAAGAAATGATAAGGATGCAGACGCCCGTCGCAACGGAGCTGATCAGACTGGAAGAACGCAAGACGTACAAGCCTGGATCTGATCAGACTGGAAGAACGGAAGACGTACAAGCCTGGAGGCAATCAGCTGTCCTAACGCAAGACGTACAAGCCTGGAGACGGCAATCAGCTGTCCTAAGGAAAGCTATCTAACAAGCTAAACGAACTTCCGTCGACAACTTCATCTCAAATATCAACTATCAAAGTGATAGAAAAGTTCATCTCAAATATCAACTACCAAAGTGATGGCCAACCCAATTCCTGGGTAACCTCCAAAACAACAGAGAAAGACCCACGATAAGTTGCCTGGCGAAGACGGTATTCATCCGTAATTTCTAATTGGAATGAGACCAAAAGCCACGGAAACCAAGCTGACGCTTTTAAATAAAATCTAGGAGACCATTCTTGTACCTAACCAATGGAAAATTGCCATAGTAATACCAGAAAAAAAGGGCAAAGACCCTAGCAACTTTGACAACTGTAGACCTATCCCCCTCACAGGCGTGTTGGCTAAGTTTATGGAAAGAATGGTTAAAAGGAGGTTGACCTGGTTCCTTGAGACCAACAATATTCTTAGGAGTGACGGACCTGGTTCCTTGAGACTAACAATATTCTTAGGAGTGAATCACCTGGTTCCTTGAGACCAACAATATTCTTAGGAGTGAACAACCAGGTCTTATTCCGCAAAGATCAACTAGCCAACAAGAAGCCACTTTCTCTCGACATATCAAAGGTGCCCTTGATGAAAGAAATACCCTTACGGCTGTTTTCGTCGATTTTAAATCAGATTATTACTTACTATGGAAAGAGAAGCTAATTCTAAAATTGGCAAAGATTGGATAACAGCATTCATTGGACAAAGATCATGTAAAGTCAGATATGGAAATGCTCTATCAAAATCCAATCTCTTACAAACAGGTCTTCCACAGGGAACAAAGATCGTGTAAAGTCAGATATGGAAATGCTCCATCATTAAAGTCAGATACGGAAATGCTCTATCAAAATCCAATCCTTTACAAACAGGCCTTCTTACAAACAGGCCTTCCACAGGGAGCTGTCACAAGCTGCATACAGGCCTTCCACAGGGAGCTGTCACAAGCTGCACTCTTTTTTCCACAGGGAGCTGTCACAACCTGCACTCTTTTCAATGTTGACAGGGAGCTGTCACAAGCTGCACTCTTTTCAATGTCTTCATCAATTAACTAGCCGAATTGGTACAGACAATCACGGGAATCGAGTGCTTACTTTATGCAGATGGTCTTGTTCTATGGTATTCCTCCCCTAAGAAAAACGCTCAGGAGAGGACAGAAAGTGTCCTAAATTGTGCCCTCAAACTACTAGCAAACTGGTGCGACGACAATGGAATAGTATTTAACACCGCAAAAACTGCATTCCAAACATTTTCATTGGCTCGTCACTGCATAAACCCACTTCTTTGGTACAAGGATTTATTTATTTATATCAAATGACAGGCTTTATGATAGTTATCATTAGCCCTTTAGTTGACTTCAGGCTTCACAGCGGGAGAACAAAATCGAATCGAAAAAAGGCGTGAGAGGGGGGGGGAGGAACAGAAGAATGTTTTGAAGAGGTAAAAGAGACAGACACAAAGGTAGATGAAAGGTGAGGTGAGTTCTGTGAAGTAGTCGAATATGACATACAATGGGATCAAACTGTGAAAATAGTCGAATATGGCATAGAGTGAGGTGAGTTCTGTGAAGTAGTCGAATATGACATTGAATGAAGTGATGGTAGTTGGAAGTCAGAAGTCAATTGCCGGTTTATTGACTTTTTTGCCGCATGAGTATACGTTGCCCAGGGTACACCACGTGGAGGTAAGTCTATCGCACACTCCAAGGCACAAGGATGCTACCCCAGAAAAAGCCAATGAGTTCACTTATCTTGTAACGACGTTTGACACAAAGCTAACATGAAAAAGTCACATTGTTAAAATAGCAGATCGAGTCTCCAATTGACTGAATGTACTGAAGCCTCTTGCTGGTAGCGTATGGGACGGTATCACTCAACCCTTAACACTACTTAAAAGATGTTTGTTCGACCAAAAATATTGTATTGCTGTGAGCCACTCATTACACCCCCAGAGGTGACTCTCAAACCACTAGAGAAGGCACGCAACCAAGCATTACGACTTATCACTGGATGGATAAATTCAACACACATTGATGCAATTCTCCTTGTTACAGAGAGCACCACAATATGTTCCCTTATCAATGAAAATGCCTTGATCCTCTATGAGAAGCTATTGTGCATTCCCATGGATAAGTTTTTCAGCACCCATGAAAATAGACCAAGACATCTGAAAACGCAATCTGGTCTAATCCAGAAAGCCATAGAACTGAAGAAAGGATTACAGATAGATGGCAAACCAAAAAGCCTCTCTCTTACCATGAACCCATTGGCAGACACTGATGTAGTGTGTTGTAGCCAACCATTTGATTACTTCAGGAAATCAAACACCCCTTAAGAACAAATGCGCTCTAATATGGAGGAGAGATGAAAGTTGGGATCGTGTTGTATTGGTACAAAAGACGATGTTGAACAATCGACTTACCATCACAGGAAACTGTGCAGCTTGCACTTAAACACGTTTTTGATGCCCTTAACTTTTGGTGCTGCTGATAGAAAGTGCAAGTCGATTATTCACGTCATATCCGTAAATAAAATTCTGTCCCTCATTCTGTGAAATGCACAAAGTTGTAAGTAATATTAACATTGAAAAGCTTGTCAACAATATACCCACCTCTTATCCTTCGATTCATTACACTTTGTCCTATATTCTTTAAGTGCATGTCCTTAGATAATTAAACATAATTGAACTTGAACTGCCCGAAATGATACGGTCTGACTCCTCCAGGATCGCTTCATCGATAATGGAGCTGGAAATATTGTTGACATTTAGCTTTTGGAGAAGACTTGGGAGGAGAGCTTGATGCACAACCATTTCGCGCGATGAGGGCGCTGCGTTCATGGGAGTGAAAATTGGTCCAGAAGCGCATGCATTTGCTATAAGACGAGACAACGCCCGGATTGACCGCTCCGAGATACGAGCATCCAGCGCATCAAAGGAGGCCAGAACTGCTCGAATAGAAAACATACGAGCATCCAGCGCATCAAAGGAGGCCAGAACTGCTCGAATAGAAAACAAAATGTCAAAAATAGTATTTT